TGTCCCGTAGCAACACGGAATACTCCCACAGCAGCTACATTTTGTAATGTTTCTGGTTCATTGTCTTTCGCTTAATGCAAATGAATGTTCCAAAATAACCCTTCTATTAGTCAGTAATTACTAAATTTAGGCCAGTTTTTTTTTATGGATAAAACTTAAAATAATTTCGCTATTTCGAAGACCACCGCATCTCCTTATCCAATTTCTTCATCTACTTCAGTGGAATTTTAACCAACGACTCTGGCGTACAAAGCTGTTGGTCTACTGTGTAAATTTTGGTTGTTTCTTTTGCACTTTTGCATTTTAAATAAACCAATTTATTAGCATTTGAAATAAGGCTTTCAGCTCAAATTGGTTAGCTGCACCTAAATGAGGGTGTTCATAAGTAACAACAAAAGAGAGGATAGGTAGAAGTATTTATGGTGGAAATTAACGATAATGCCAAAACATAACCTAGAGCAGTGGAGTCCAACCGAGTTCGCACTGAGGACCGGAATGGGATGGAAGGGAATTGTAGGTGGCCGGAAAAACTAAAAAAAAAACTTTTCGAAGCACTCAAGCAGTATTGCAAATTGTACTTAAGGCCAGGAGATAGGATTTAGAGGAAAAGGATATGTAGGTGGGGGTGAGAATTCATTGCTCCTCTGCAAACTTACCAGACTCCTTTATGAATTTCAGCAGTTTGTTGAGGGCAAAATAATGCACGTCGTCCATTCTCAGTACATCCGACCCAAAAATGTACCATCTGAGTGTGCCGAAGGCCGGAAAGTGGCAGAGAAAATGTTCTCTACTATCCTCTTCCTCCATACACGATGTACACAGTGGATCGTCGATGATGCCTTTAGTGACCATATTTCGTCCCCATGGATTGTGCCCCATAATCAGTCCTACCAAGGATCACAGATAACTCCTTCTTTGTCTGGAAAGAAAATTTTCTACCACCTTGTCAGGCCTTTTCAGGAAACACTTGGTTATTTTGCAGATTTCAATAGTTCACCAACGGCCCCCATGAGTTTTGCTTATGAGATCCTTGATGCACCGGATCGTTCCCGCTATGCTTGGCCCTTCAATTGGCTCCGGTCCAATTGGGCGTTCCAGGGAACCGCAGTTCGCCAATTCATCAGCCAGTTCATTGCCTTGAACACCGTATTGTCCTCGCACCCACATAAGTTCAAGCTCATTCCATTTTGTAACTTACATTCCTGGGCTAACTTTGAAGAGGTTCTGGCGGTTTTCAGGATCTTTAGAGCAGCTTGGCTGTCACTGCACATCGTGATTTTGTGTCCGCGCCACCTTTCGCCAGTTATCCTGTCTGCCACTTTCACTATGGCAAAGACTTCCGATTGGATTTTTTGTTATAACTTCTCCATTTATGCAGCTAGAAACATCAAATTTCGCACTAATTACACCCATTATCAACAAAAAGTTTATGGTATAAACGACAAAGATCGAGTCACTATAACCTGTTTATTTCCTCCATACAACTGACTGTTCAGATATCGGTTTTACTGTAAAACTCCCTTACTTGGACAGCTTAAACCGAGAAATTTCAAGATCTTTTTTTGCATAGTCATATAAAGACTGTGTCGGTGCTGTATAAGCTTTATCATTTATGTATATATTTTTCTATATTTCTCTCGATTCGTGTTAGCTGTCATAAACAACTGTTATGTGAACAAAGTTATAATACCCTTTTTCAAAAGTGCGTTCGGGTATAAAAATATAAAAAAAAAACATAAATAGTTTTATTCAGTTTTCTTTTTTATGTTTTCTTCTTTCGCCGGCTTTGGAGAAGAAAAATACCTGTCCTATTAAGGTAATTTGCGTTCTAAAAATGAAGCAAATGGGACCATAAACACGGGTTTTCCAAGTATCTTGCTTCCTGCGCCACCTATCAGACAAACTTATACCTTTGTATGTAGGTAAAATGCATTCAAAATATGAACCAAAACGGACCATAAATAGGAGGTTTTCAAATATTCCGAGAGATGCGCCACCTAGCGGATTAATTCTTTCGTATTACATTGTCACAGGAAACTTAAAAAAAGCTTTTGAAAAGGATAGAAAAAATTAGAGTTTTAGTACCTAATGTTATATAGAATATACAAATCTATATATTTATCAATAATTTTTTGATTCACTACGTTTCTTCTTGATTCACTACCTACATTAAAAAAAGCGAGTTTACCCGCATGGCGTTAATATGCCCAAAATTTAATTTCAGAAACTTAAAAAATATTCCAAATCGAATTTCCATCGAATTTCAAATCACCCTATACCGGTGAAATAAGATCTTAGTTAAAAAAAATAAAACTTGATCATAGATCTACAGGCTAAGGCCTCTGATTTGACTTTTAATTTTTGAAATTCCTTTCAAAAGTATTCTCAAAACAAAATCTTCTTAAATCTCTTTCATCTGACGTTGTGATATACATGTTGCAACAAATGGCAAACCTCTTAATAAAGGTCAGGAATAAATCCCTTTCAAACCTATTTCGAGATATACCCATCTTTTAATAATTCATCCACCGTACCTTTTAAACACCTTTTTAAACACGTGGAAACTCTCTTCAAACATTCGAAATAATCAAACTAAAGATTTCTTAACATTCTTTCGTTTGACTACGGAATTTTTATAGTTAATTGAAACAAGTGGCAGCCCTAATCAAAAGTATATTCAAGCCATTGTCATTGTTTACTCTCCTTCGTCGGACACTGCGATACATCTTTTAATTAACTGATGAATTAAGTGATATTTTAATTTTCAAATATATGGCAACCCCGCTAAATACAGTTCAAAAATACCTATACTATACCTATATTTCAATAATTCATTTAACTTATAAAATGATTTGAATTTAACTTTTTAAACAGGTGGCAAGCCTCTTCCAACACCTCAAAAATATTCTTAGCGTTCAAACTAAAGATTTCTTAAGACTCCTTTGTTTGACATACATATTTTGATATTTCGCATAACTTGTGAATAAGTAAACTAAATTCGACATTTCAAACTGGTGGCAACCCTCTTAAAAATATTTTCAAACGACTACTTTCTGAAACCCTTTTCGTGTGTCATCCATATTTTGATACATATTTCTCTTATCTATCTAATATGATTTTTTTTTAACAGGTGGCAACACACCTATAGTTCAGCTAAGAAACAAAGCTTTTCAAACCCATTTCGTTTAATACCCAGTTTGTAATAATTGATATATTTTTTATGATAATTGATATATTTTTTTTTTTTAAGTGGGAACTCTTTTCAAGAAAGGCTTTCAGTTTGACGCCTCAAAACTGAACGAACGGTGCGGATTTTATGGCCTTGATTATTAAATAATTTGAATTTAATTTTCTAAAAGGTGGTAACTCTTTTCGAAAAACTAGAACCAGTTTGCATATCTACAGACCAAGCGCTTTAATTTGACAGCTCATTTTTGAAAATCGGGCGAGCGATACAGATCTTTTATCGTGAACAAAAAATACCTTCGCGTAATATATATATAGATATATTCTTTTTGATTTGTTTTCATTTCCATTGCAGGTATATTCCCTTGTAATCTTAATTAATCCATTTTCCTTACAACTTGTGAATTTGTAGCATTCAAATAATTACGCCAAGATTATTTAGGTATACCACCCGTCAGTTTGCATTCTTCTTATTAAGTAAGCCAATCTCCCACCCTTTGCAATGTAAACACAAAATGTTTTGCTTCTTCAGATGGTTACGTTGATAAAAAGAGTACATCGCAATTCTGTGTCAATGAAAGTCTTTTTTTCTTGATTTTTGATACACACATTTACTCTCCTTTTGCATACAGATCCGAAAGCATGGAAAGTTGCATGACAATGTTTCTAGCTACTTTGCATAGTTTGCGATAGAATGAGCACCGCCGCTCTATACCACTTGACGAGCAAAAGCCCCAACACAGGCACACACAACTACAAAAGCATAGTGGTGCTACGAAATTTTGCTGTCACAGCAAACAAAATTTATTTTTCGCAAAATTATGTTATTTCGTAATTTGGTTTTCAGTGGTTTCCGCTCCGGAACCAAAAAACTGTACACACAAATACCGCCACAACTATCGGTGCCACAATGTTGGTTATTGTTCCACTGTCGCTGCCGCTACCGCTGCCGTTGATGGAGAAAAGCAGCAATTGCTTGAGCAGTGTTGTTGTGCTATTGGTGCTGGCGATAATGCTGGCATTTAGTTGTTGCTAGTTTTGGGAGTTGCTGGCTGCTGTGTTAGCCCTCCTTACAAAACATTTTCCTATGAATATTATAATAGTATATTTAGTTTGCAAATATGTATGTATGTATGTAAATAGTTATGTAAAATTGGTTTGTGTTTGGTTGTATGCGTAGGTTTGTATTTAAAAAAATATATATTTGGCGCTTGTGGCTGGCAAATGACTGCGAATGATTACTGGGTGTGTCTCGGTTGAATGACAGAGCTTTCGTATGCGTTCCAACTGTTCATACGATTGTGTACATATGTAGTTATGCAAGTACACTAACCCACTCTTCCTCCTCCTCCTCCTACTCCTCCTCCTCCTCCTCCTCCTTTGGTTGTTTCAATCCATTGGCGCAAATTGCCCACAGCATTGAACGGCAAATCAGCCATTCTTCAAAC